TGCTAGTCTCTGATGCATGCTTTAATAGGATGGGCACTATTGCTAGTCTTTGATGCATGCTTTAATAGGATGGGCACTATTGCTAGTCTCACCTGCATGCTTTGACTTGTGTAGTCCATGGCTTTCAGACCTGCTCTGAGCTGAGTTACATGGAACGTTACTTAGATGCTTTCACAACTTCTTTGTTCTTCCGTCAACTCTTTGCAAGCAGGTCATTTTCCTTAGGTCACTGGAATTCTTCAACTCTAGAATGAAAGTGCTCAGGCCTGCCCACAAAATAATCAGGCAAATGCAGTCCTTATTTCTGGATAAATTTGGAGGTCTGTATCAAAAAGGAGCGATTTCTGATAATCTGAAAAGAATCCCAATAAGAAATGGGCAAACAGTGGGTGGCAGAATGAAGAAAGACGAGAAGCCTCATTTTATAGGAGTTCAACTACACTAGACTCTGCAACCATGTTCCTCTCCTCTCTGGGTTCAAGACTCTCTTTATGGTGGGGTGGGGGGGAAGGAGGGAGAGAGGTAGCTCTTATGAACTAGTCCTATGTATCTGTAGGAATAAAAGGCAGCAGGAACAGTTAAGTGTTTTGAATTACATGTACCAATTTCACTGATGACTCAGAAAAATTATACAAACTACCTAAACTGTGTGCTCCTTCATTCCCTGAGTGTGTTCAGAAATAAATGATATTTGATCCTAAGAATAATTAACTCGAACATTTCAGAGTTCTTGAAGGATATTTAATTCGGTAAATGTCTACCACTTTAGTAATTATTCTGATTGGATGTCAATTTTGGGAAACTTTACATTAATAAGTATATCTGTTTTTCCATCTCTGCTACCCATGTCCTTGGCTTCCTGACTCGGTGGATTTCTTTTCCCTGATTCTCTTTGCACACTATTATGGGTCGGTGGTTCTGCTTTGCTGGTTCTTTGATCCTAATCAAATCCTGCATTTGCAGCTTATTAGGATCAGAATTTCCTCCCTTTCTAATTACTGGCAGCACAGCAGCCCATGTTTGCTTATGCAGAAAGAATCTGTAATAAGACCCACGGTATTTTACAACAAATTCACGGGTTATGTCTACTGTGACTAGAAATGATGGACATTTCATCACATGGAATTTCTGTCAATGAATCTTTGCCTTATTTATTTATGAAATACCCTGTACCTTATGCATCAACTTTCATATATCAAAGGTGTATCAAGTTTTAGTTTGTAAGCGAGAGTGGGGTAATTTTATCTCTAAATTTAGAATCAGATTCTTATAGCTAATGACCCCAAGGGTTATCGCCCTCTCGCTCAAACTTCTGCTTTTACAGATAAGGAAATAGGCTGTTACTAGTCTAAGGCTACACAGCATTTACAGATGGAGTAGGGATGAAAGTCATGGATCCTGGCTACACAGTTACTTCTCAAGGCCTGCCACACCTGCACTGCTGGGTCTGGAACGGGAACACTTGAGGGGGAGGCCCTAGATACCTTTGTTCTCAGATGCTGCACTTTCAATTTAGGTCACCCCAATTATAGGTTTGTGGACCACAAGTGCAGACAGAGGGCTGGCACAGATCCATCCTCCCACCCAGATGCTGGATACGTATCTGTTTCTCTATAAACAAACCACAGGTCATTTCACAGCGACGGCAATCCATTCTCCACTCTCGGATAAGCAAGTAATCCTCTCTGGATCTCTGGAGCATGCACTGTGCCTTTCCCAGGGTAGGATCTCGAGCCTTGTGGAACTTGTAAGACATGATGAAGGCAAATGTGAGGAATTTCATAGAGCTGAATCTTTCTGGCTGGTGAAATAGCTCAGTGGGTAGAGGACCTTGCATGCAGGCCTGACAATCTGAGTTCATCTCCTGGATCCCACAAGACAGCATCCCAGAGCCAACTTCCGAGACATGTCATCTGATGTTCATGTGTGCACTATGGCACGCACGCGCGCGCGCGCGCACACACACACACATATATATACACACATTCATAAACACATACACAGTCATACCCTACACAAACACACATATACATGCACATACACATACACACAGATCTGCACACACACACATGCACACATTCATAAACACATACACAATACCCTACACAAACAACATAAACATGCACATACGCATACACACAGATCTGCACACACACACACACACACACACACACACACACACAAATACACTTTCCCACCCCCACACAGATGTTGAATCCTTAACTGGAAGTACACACATCTCAAAAGCATGAAGAAAATTTCCTTTGCTAGTCTGGAGGTTTCTTTTTTTTTTTTCAATACAAGTCTTTTATTGCCCCAAAAGACACCCCAAATCATATTAAAATTCAGGATCTTGTTTCTGGAACTGGTAACTTAGGTCTACTCATCAGCCTGCTGCACTGTTTCCTTTCCAGACACATAGATACCATCCAAAAACTTCCTGATATCTTTGTTCTTAACTGTTGTGGCCTGCTGTATCAGAGCTGCCGAGTTTGAAACAAGTTCAATATCATTTCCTTCAAGGATTAATTCATCCTTCTGGGCTTGAGAGACAGAACAAGCAATGCCTGTCCTCATCCGAACCCTGCGGATGTATTTTTCACCCAAGAAATTTCAGATTTCAACCAAAGACCCATTCTCTTGAATAACGACGTTGATGGGGAAGTGAGCATACACGGACCTCATCTTGTAGCGGAAGCCCAGCGTAACACCCTTGATCATGTTTTGAACGTGGCTGCAGATGGTATCGACGGTGGCCAGTTCCTTCCTGTTGCCCCAACATTTGTCAACCCGGAGCCTCTTCTTCTTCTTCCCAAGAAGGCTCAGCTCTACGTTGATGTGATTGAAGTCCCTCCGGAGGGTTCCTCTGGGGCCCTTCACAATGACTGTGCGCCCCTTCAGAGTGATGTCCACATTTTCTGGAATGTCGACCGTCTGATTGCTGAGAATGGTCTTCATTCTCGCAGTAGATGGGGCAAAGAGCATGGAGGTTTCTTGAAGAATTTGCCAGTGTAGCACACACCCAAGAAAGGCCACAGACAAACACAGACATTTGCGGTTGCCGAGCTTCATCTGGCTGTCACTGGAGCCAGCTTTTGCCTCCAGATGAACAACTCTGATCCGCCGTCAAGACGACTGAAAGTTTGTAGTCAAGAAGGGAAAAGGAAATAAAGCTCCATTATGTTCTCAGTTAGTATTTTTGCTGTGAAAAGTGAATGCATTTGGGGAGTAAACTACTCAGATTCCACCAGCAAGCATAGGTCGCAAAGACCAAGTTCTCTCCCACCTAGGTTTTTTTTTTTTTTTTGTTTCCAGAAATTTCGTATCATACACAAATGTCAGTATTTATGCAGGTTTTGCCTCATTTTATTTTTTTAATATGCATTCTCTACTCACCCTAGACATACCCATGCAAGTTTGTGTTATTTTAAAAACTGGTCATATACATTAGCTCTGTATGCATAGATGGTAATTTAAGAAGTAATTGCATGTTTGAATAAATCAGTATAGGAGAGGTCAAACAGATACAACACACATGCATGTGCTGGTACACACACACAAACACATAACACAAGCATTTGAGGGCAAACACCGCTGAGCCACGACACTGGGCCTGTGTGCTGTATTCAAACCAACCACTTCCAATGCGAACATGAGCATGGCCGCAGTCACACAGCACTTCTTACCCGTGACCAGTTCTTCATCTTGTTAACTGGAAGAATTTATCTCTTTGCATGGTTCTCTCCCTGCGAGTCTCTCTCTCGCTACTCAGTTGTAACTGCTGACTTTCTAACCAGTCTGAGGAAGTGGTAAACGTCAAAACTTTTTCCTTTATGAGGCCACACTTGGTGCTTTCTGTTATTATCGAGATACGGGTGTCAGGATTCAACGTCCTTGCGTTTAAGTTATCTCGACTTTGCTCATGAATTCCTGGCTCTCTCCTCCGCTGGGGGCTCGACCTGACTAGCTGCCTCATATCGATGGCAACCTACCAAAACCCTGTAAAGCACTCAGCACAGGGCGGGGCACATCAGCGTTCTACCTCACAATTTAAGGAAGGCAGGGGGCTAGTTTTTGTTTTAAGATAAAAATCTTTTGACAAAACACAAACTCCCTAAAACTTCCTTTAAACCAAACAGCATTGTCACACCCGCACAAGCTCCTATTACTTACACAGCCAGATGACTCAAGATTACTTAACGTTTCTATTCAGAAGAACTTTGCTGGCCGGTAATCAGTACACCAGGCCTTCCCCCACCTTCCTTCGCTCTCCCCTGGGAGACTGACGTTTGGAGTACTAAGTTTATTAGAAAAAAAGCCTCTGTGTTTTCTGCCGGAACTGTTTGTCCTGGGTTTTAGAAAAAGCCACTCTTAGTCATTTTTCAAGTTTATTCGCTGAGGTGGGGAAAGGAAGTGAACATGGCTTTTAGCCTCTGAGTCTTCAACTCAGAAACGGGGCATTTGTGAAAATAGGTTGTAAGTAGCCCAAGGACCGAGGACTCTGTTTATCAACGGACCTACAATGATATCCCTGTCACCCAGAGACAGGACTGGGGGGGGGGGGCACACAGGAGTCCTGACTTCTGGACGTTCCAGGGAGCAGTTTCAGCTTTTGCGCTTGACCCCATTAAAACGGGGCTTCTCCCTCCCTTTGGAGCAAAGCGTTCACTTTCTCTGTAAATTCAAAACGACCAAGCAAGTCTGTCCTAAACCCGACCGGGTCCCCGAGGTCAGCGAGCACGGGCTTGCACCCTCCCCAAACCTTTCGTACCCGGGGGGGGGGGGGACCACACGGAGCGCGCCGCAGCGGGTGGGTTGGGTCTGCGCGGCGCCCAGCGGGGCCGTCCGTCTGTCCATCTGTCCGTCAGTCCGCGGGCCGGGGTGGTGGAGCGCGCGGGAGGAGCGCGGCGGCGGCGGCCGGAGCGCGGGCGGCCGGGAGGGGGCGCGGCGGGTCCGGGAGGGAGGGAGGAGGGCGGCGGAGGCCTCGGAGTCGGAGAGGCAGCGGGGTCGTGCCGGGGTCCCGCGCGCCAGGCCTGGGGCCAAAGGAGCCACGGCTCTCGGGGCGGCACTGCGCCTCGGACTGGGAACTTGTCCCGCGAGCGTCTCCCGCAGCCGCCCGCGCCTCTTCCGGCCGCCGCTCCAGCTCCTTTAGCCGGCCGCGGCCGCCGCGCCGCTCTGCCTTACAAAGGAGGACGAATGAGGCGGGCGGCGGCGCGGTGCGGGCCCCCCCGGGCGGCGGGGATGGCGGCCGCCCCCGGCACCACCTAAGACGCCCCCCGCGCCCAGCTTCGGCCCAGGCCCGAGCCCCGCAGGCGGCCGAGCGCTGCGTGTCGCCCGTGGCCCGCGAGGAGGCGGAGGAGCAGGGCGAGGCGCCGCCTTCCCCGCGCACTGCCGCGCGCCCTCGCCGTTGTCTGCGCTGCGCGCTGGACCAGTTTCGCGAAGTTGCCCGGGCCCCGCGCCGCCCAGATGTGCGACCTCATTGAGCCTCAGCCGAGCGAGAAGATCGGCAGGATGAAGAAGTTGAGGAGAACTTTGTCAGAGAGTTTCAGCCGCATCGGTGAGTGTGCTCCGCTGACCCTCACCCCACCCCACCCCCGTGGGCTGCCGGCTGTCCCCGGACTCTCTCCCTCGGCCCCGCGCCCCCACCCGTGCTCCGAGCACCAGCCAGGCAGCTGCCACCTCCAGGCGAGCTGCGGACCAGGGATGGAGGGGGGGGATGTCGCTCGGAGAGCCTTTCCCTCTTCCCCAGGATCTGGGCTTCATTTGTGGACTGTCCCAAGCCTTGAATTTGGGTTCCTTCTCTCAGCCACTAGTATCTTTTGCACCAGCAGTGGACCGCGAGGGGACACCCAGTCCTCACCGCCATAGGGGTTCTGCGGCCACCCAGGTTATTTGTTATTTTTAAAGCTCTTTGGTATTAGGTGTTTAACTAGTAATTTAGCTTTGAGAATCGCTGAAACGTTGACGTGTGCCTGAAGCTATTTAACGTAGCCAAACCTAAAGGAAGTGGGACAGATACCTTGAGACCTTTTGTTCCCTACTTCGGGTCCTATAAATGGAGGTTTGGGTGATCAGTTCTTAGGACGCTGAACCTTCCAGCTGCTGTAGAGAAATGTGAGCTATGAAGTTGTGGGGACTCTATGAATCAGTCTCCTGAACTGCTGCAGTAGTACTGTTCAGAGTATTGTCTTTGAGAAAGAGCAACGGACTTAACAAAGAACAAACAACAACAAGATCAGGGAATGTTTAGGATACTTAAAAAGATAGATCCGTGTTCTAGGGAACAGCAAGAGGACAACAGTGTCATGTGGAATGGGTTTGTTAATCTTGAGGTTTACTGGCAGGAAGTGCGCCTCTTAACCTGGAGGTGTAGCTGCCTCCTAAACCGTCATAACTTCCTTTGACACAGGTAACTGTGCCAAGCAAGAGATTCCCACAGAGCCTCAGACAAACCTATCAGAGTGTCCAAGTGTACCTTCTGGCCTTTGGTTCGCTGTGATCATGTCCATGAAAGTGTTAATTAATCATAAACAAGCTAATTCCTTAAAACACTGATGTGCCAGTGACTGTCAGCTGTCTGTCCATGCATGCAAACTGTCTTCAAGTGAAAGTAAACATTTGGTCAAGCTTATTATTGTTAATATTAATTATTATTACCATTATTTTGGTCCAATTTGTTAATATTATTTCTGAGAACACTCAAAGTTATGTGTAGAAGCCAGATTAATCCAGCATTTCCATATTGTGTTTGAATGCACACAGACTCACTCTTGTGGATTAGGCATTCCAGTGTGGAGTCTTCTATTGAAATGAAGTTCGAAGCCCAGAGGAGTGGAGAGTGAGGTGTGCAGTCCTGTGCGTTATTCACAAGGATGTTTCCGTGCTGGGCCCAAATCACTGCCCATGCGGGTTCTGGAGTCCATTAGGGCCTGTTCTGAAGCGCATCAACTAGATATTTACTAATGCTAATGATTCCGTTGGAGCCCCTCCAGTTTTGTGTTAAATAATTCATTGCAGTTGAGTCTCAGTAAGAAACCAAGGGCATTAATAGAGAAATACTGTATGTTTAAATAATTTTAGGGTTTGATGGCCAATCACTAAAATTTGGGGTAACTGCAATATTGGCAAATATTGCAGTTAATTGGGCTTCCTAGATTATTGAGATTCAGTGATGGGAAAACTCCTTTTGAATCAAACTCTTCTCACAAATGCCTTCTATGATTATGTGGCGATTACATGCAGGCTTCAGGAAATAGTACAGCTATGTCGTGTATTGAAAGAGGACCTGTGACTCAGAAGAGTGGATCATACTGTGATATATTGTGAAAGAAATTATTGGTATTTTTAAGTGATTTTAATGTTGGGTGTGCACCAAAGCCAGGGTGTTTATTAGAAACAGCACTGCCGAACGCGTATTGTTCTCCTCTGCTTTTCTTCACACTCAGAGGCAGTGAACTTTGGTCATTCTGATGACCGAAGGAGTTTTTGAGGAGCTAAAGGCAATGGAATGAGAGTTTGTGCAGGGAATGTGGCCTGTGCATCAGATGGGGTTCCTGGAATTGCCAGTCTGAGCTCAGTGACCTTGGATAGGTTTCTCAACTTTTCTGAGTCTCAGTTTTCAATTTGTTTGTTGGCATTTAGTGAAATAACGATTCATTGTCTCGTGTGACGCGCAGTGTGGACTCAATAAATGTCTGCACCATGTTGTCGTCGTCAGGCCCAGACCATACTGGCGTGACTCTGTAGAAAGCAAGGAAAAGAGAAGCGCTGACAGATTTGTCCTATAGCAGCCGGAAATCGGGGTAGAATTGGACCGAGCTGGGCCTGGCCATCTCTTGTCCCGCTCGACTTGGGCAACCAGTAATCCACTTAAAGGCCTGCATTCTCACACATCATAGATGATGCTAACTGGTTACCATCTTCCCCAAACACAACTGATCTGAGATTACTATATTATAAAAGGTCAGATCAAACACATTGGGTTTCAAGCCACAGGGCTCTAAGTATGCCATCTGCTAGGCAATGACTCCAGTGTAGCTGGAGTTCCCGTATAAGACGAGTGTGATTGAATTCTACGGTCAACTGTCCATTTCACAGTGAGTGTTCACAGCTTCCTGCTCAGTGACGTCAGCGTGGTCACTATTTAGGAATCGCTATTCTTGTCTAATACGATTCCCTCCTGTTTCCCACTTAGGACTTTTAGGCTAGCTGAGCAGACAGGAGCTTCATTGTTAGATAGCTGAACTCTGCTACAGCCTATGTCTTTCCCCTGGAATTTTTTTTTTCAAGACAGGGTTTCTCTGTAGCTTTGGAGCCTGTCCTGGAACTCGCTATAGATCCGGCTGGCCTTGAACTCACAGAGATTCCCTGAGGTTTGCAGGGAGGTTCAGGCAGATGAAGGCTATGAGGTGTCTGTATGATTGGGTCCTATGACGTTCCTTCAAACATGTTTGGATTCTTCCCAGGAGAAAGGAAGTTTATGTTTGATATTTGAGAAGAACCCATGTATGCCATTTCTTTAAAGGATGTGGTGGGTGAAAAGAGGAAGCCGTGGTTTAGGCTGAATTCCTGTGGGTTTGTTGCCTTCTGCCAGAGGTGTACATTTCTAGATTTGATTGTCAGTGATGAGCCGCTCTGAGAAGAGGGAGAGATATAAAGTTAAAAGTTCAGACACACTCTTAACTGTTGTCCTGTATTCTTTCCCGAAGAAGCTATAAGAGATTTTAATTTGGGGCTGGGAGTTTATCTCAGTGGTAAGAGCTTTCCCAGGATGTGTGAGGCCCTGAGCTCAGTGCCTAGCATGAGAGAGGGGCGGGGTCAGAGGGGCTATCATTGGTAATGGAATCTGTGTTTATGATTCTTACATAGAAATACATATGGTTTTTATTTATGAAAACACTAGTGTATATCAAGTTATGAGGTTCTCTCTCTTTGCCTCTGAGGTAGATCTCGCTAACCCCACATATTACCGTGTGCCTTCTGGAGCTAGATTCTGCAGTTAGTGAACAGTGTGGCTGGAAGACAGGCTAGTGAATGGGCAGTCCCACCATTCAGTGGGAAATTCTGTAGTGCAGGTTAGCGAACCCGCCAGTGGAGGACACCGCAGAATCTTGCCTCTGTGCTTGGGGAGGAGTGGGAAGCCTTTTAGGAGCTGTGTCTGAACTGAGGACCAGATAGACTGTCTGATCATATTAAATGACTTCCTATTTATCCTTTTGTTAAGCCAGGGTAGCACAATCTGCCTGTTGTCCCACGATATCCTTGAGGACAATTGTGGTTTTACATTTACATAAATGATTAATGACAATCAGAGAATGTAATCAATAACAAGATGTTATGTGCATGTGTAGGTCAGAGTTTATCATCAGTGACTTGATAGCTATCTGGCAAGGACATCGTGGTCTTTGTTTTACTGTTAACTGCTTTTTAGGGCAAGGATGCAATACTTAGAGAAAACTGTGTCAGGTGTTAATCTAATAATGTAAGGTATCTGTTGAGTCTAAATCTGTTCTTCCCTGTGGCACACAGGGCCTGACCGTATCATTCAGCAGAGAGACCTTTGTTGCTTATCAAATACACCTATAATTTTTTCTTTATTCCCCCCTTTCTGTGTAATCTTAGACCCACCCTTTATAGTTAAGAATGGTGGGAAGCTGTCAGAACGAAGAAGGGAGCAGTGGGCTGGTGTGAATGTTTGAGAATCCCTCACCCCACTTCATTCTTTTCTCGCCTCCACTCCTTGTTTTCCAACCCTGATGGGACAGCGTCGGCTGCAGGACATCTTTGCTTGAGAAGACAGGTGTCTAAACTTCCAGCACTTTTGCAGTGGCCGCAGTAGATAAAATATTTTCGAAAGTTTGTCTTCTGAGTCACGCATCTGCAAGGCTCATGACGTGGCTTCTTCCCTCTTGCTAACTGATTGATGGATGAGCCGGAACTGTAATTATGTGCTCATATGGTACTTTGTGTCTGAAGGCAGTGCTAGTCTAAAATACTCATCCTTTTGAAAAGTGGAGAAATTTGTTTATGTTTGCGTCACTAATGTTTGGTAATGGCCTCGTCAGACAAGCATATTAGTTGAAAGACTCACCTTTGCTGGCTGGGCTTGAGAGTTTTGAGATTAGGAGTTACATTCTGGTGAAGATTAGCCAGTAGAGTCAGCTAGGGCCTTCTTCCTTTCCCTCTTTCAGGTTTAGTGTATGGTGACAATTCTGGGGTGAAAATATGCATGTGGCCGATTTCAGGAGCAGCCACTGAGGCCGGGACAAGGACCCTCCTTTCATTTTAATTCAGGGCAGCTTGTTACCTAGTGATGAAGGCGGGCAGTGTGTTTTCGGATGGAAGGGAAGACTAAGAACTAGGTGTCTTAGCTGCCTTGGTCAGCCTGCACCTGCTGGCTGAGCACCACGGCTACATTCTTCTGGACCTTTTACAAAGACGAATTTATGATCTAAAGCAGAGCAAGATCAAGATTGCTAGAAAGATTCAAGATTGCTAGAAAGCCAGGCATGGTGGCTCAAGCCTGTAATCCCAGCACTTGGAAAGCTGAAGCAGGAGGATTGCTGCTAGTTCCAGGCCGAACTGGGTTCCAGAATAAGACCTTGTCTCAAAAATCACATGGCAGTACACCACACCGGACACCACATAGCTACAGTATATAACTTTTTGCTAAGGAGTTTCTGCTTAGACTTACTAATTTCTCAGGATTTAATTGCCAGAATAATTTGCTTCTCATTGCTTTTATCAGAGCACGACCTCTCAAGCAATGGATACCCAAGCCTTTTCATCCAGGCTAGGACCATCCAGTATAGGCCTGTAAACACCTAGGCAGGATTTTGTAGATGTGAAACATTTCTGCAAGTGGTAGTGTCAGAGAAAGGAGCTATTTTGTGCTTTCTCATCTCTGTGAAACGTTGTAGCTACAGGACTTAATTAACCAGTATTTGACAACTATGTGCTGTATTCTTTCCTTTTTCTTTAGAGTCAGATCAAATTTCATTTCCAAGGTTAAGTGTATAGAAGATAAATCTGAGGTATTTGTTAGTTTCTGTGAAACATTTTCAAAAAATTCATCATGTTAAAATTTGAATTACGTCTCCTATCCCACACAGTGCTCATTTGATAATGCCTGGCTTTTTTATTACCACGCACAAACTTTCCTTTGCATTAAAATATCACTTTGAGCCGGGCGGTGGTGGCGCACGCCTTTAATCCCAGCACTCGGGAGGCAAAGGCAGGCGGATCTCTGTGAGTTCGAGACCAGCCTGGTCTACAAGAGCTAGTTCCAGGACAGGCTCCAAAACCACAGAGAAACCCTGTCTCGAAAAACCAAAAAAAAAAAAAAATATCACTTTGACACTGTGTGGAGTGTTTGTTATCCTCACAAGTGGCGTGGGAGGTCCACACAGCACACAGGAGGATACACAGAGGAAATTTGTTTGAGATTACTTTGTGTTCCTCTTATACTTCTATTAAAGCATGTTCTGCCGCAGAAGCGGTAGTGAAAGTCATGGGGGCTTCTCTTCCTTATTTCCAGGAATGCTTCATTTACATATTTATGAAAAGTCTTTCACAGACGCATGCTGCGCTGTTCCCGCCCTCATTTGCAGTTCTTGTATTTATATCATGGCACCGTTACTCAGATAGGGGCACAGTTTTGCTTTCTGAGATGAAAACATTGTCCTGCACCCCGTTTCTCCTTCCCGGGACTTAGATTCTCTTTGGGAGGCATCACAATAACAGTCTCCTTTCTCTTTCTTTTTTAGCTCTGAAGAAAGATGACAGCGCCTTTGACGAGGTAGGCCGAATCTCTTCCTCTCACGCAAAGGTGGATAGGTCCTAGGGGCCAACTTCGTGCTTAGAAACAGGAAAGATAACTTAAGAAACCGGGAAAAACCCATAAGTAATGAGAGACAACATTTGTTTCTTTTGTTACCCCATGTTAGTCTCCAGTCTCAAATAGTCATTTGAATGTTGTAGTAATCACCAGAGGTGTGTCTGAATCAGTAAACAAAAGACACATGCGGCCTTTGTGTTGCTGCCTTCCCTCTAATGGTGTAGCCTGAGGAGCCACACACACGCGTGTGTGGGGCCAGTCCAGAGCTGTGGGTAAGTCGGGCAGTAAGGCTCCTTTGCAGACCTTGCTGAATCAGGGCGTGATGTGCCGATGCCGCAGATTGTCTGCAACGCTCCCGAAGGAGGAGGTGACTTTTTCTGTTCCAGTTTCCCTGCTCTTTCGGGATCAGCTGGGTCTCTCTTCACTCGCTACAAAGTGGTAAAGAAAATGCCTACGTTCCTAGGTAACAAAGCATTCTGAATAGGATTTTAAAATTGTGCTTTCCTGAGCTGTTGTTACTGTTTCCAGGGCGTCGTCGAGGGAAATATTTCATGGGACACATATAAGGCCAGTCACGTGGATGTTATGAACGGGTTGTGCCGTGTCCGTTGTGTGTAGTTACATGTAAACAGAGATGTTTCTACACCTCGTGCTTACCCCACAGCCTCATGAATGCATAGAGTGGTTGGCATTGATTGTTTAACATGCTCAGATTCCATGAAAGGTGCTGGCAATCCTCCCCCCTCCACTGTAGTGAGGCAAGAACATATGTGCTCAGGGAATGTCCCTTTGGCCACGTGCTGGTCCTGTTCTACGGGGAGGGCCACTCAGGGCGAGCCTGCTGCAGGCCAGGATTTCTGGACGGGGCCAGCGCCATTTGTCTCTCATGATCTGTTGCTTCATCGCTGCACCTGTTCCAACTTTCCTGGTCCGCGCTCAATAAAGCAGGTTACTGAAGTCCAAAACAACTTTCCCAGACAGCGTTCCTGGACCATCCTCCTAAGATTAATTTCTCTAGTCTTGAAGGAAGAAAAGAAACTTTCCTTTTTCATCCTAGTAGATATTACTAGTTTCCCCTAAACCTGTATTTCTGGAATTTCTACCGTTTCCTTACTGAGATATCTGTTTTCAAGTGAGTATTTATTCAGGAGTCAAGAGTGAGACTATTGGGCACCTTTTCTTTCTTTATAAAGAAAAGCCTCCCCTGTAATTTATGGGAGTAATTTAAGTCTCCATAAAGAGAGACTTCAGGAAAGAGAGGAGGCTAAAACTCTTCCGTCCTGCTCTCCCGATATAACCACTGTTGAATATTCTTGCTTTTTCCTCCAGGTTTTAAAACCATAACCCATTATTATAGCCCTTTTCTCCTTTAAGCCATGGCGTATTTCTCCATGTCCTCATAGGCTCCTCCCGTCAGTGTACGGAATTAGAAAACAAAACAAACAAACGAACAAACAAAACAAACAAACCACCTCCTTTCTTGTATGGTGTTAGTCTGTTTCACAGCCGCGCGTACATTTGTGTAAACAAGCGCATAAGCGAGAGTCTGGACAGAGGAGTGTATAAGGATGTCACAGCTGCAAATAATCCTGTAATCTTATTCTGAAACTTCTGTAGAATCAGACGTTCTGCCGTTTGGGACAAAGTCATCACCAGCTCCCACACAGTATTTTCCTTCTTTCACAGCACAGAGGTTTGTTTGTTTTTTTCTTTTTTAACATTGTTAATCAGAAAGTCATAGAATGCTAGACCCAGAGGAGTGGCAGAAACCGTTACTTCTCCATCCTGGCATTTCGGCATTTCACAGATGAGCACATTATGATGCAGAGGGCCGGAGTAATTTTCAGCTCGTTAAGGAAAGCATAGGGTCTTGATCTAGGAGGGTAGGGGTGATGCAGGCGTGCCGGGGGCTGATGCTAGTGCACCTGCAGCTGAGCTACTGCTCCTCTCTGCACAGGTCTGCACAATGCTGGCAGCTTCCTTTCAGACGGCTTGAGTGGATTACATAAATTAATGTATATAAAGCTCTTAGAAGACTGTCTGGCGTGCTGGAACTGGCAGAGTGTGGATCATCTCTGCTGCTGTCACCAAGGGCATCTTCATTGATGTGCTAACTGTGGTGATCTACCCTCTTTAGTTGGAAGAGCTACAGGGGCGATGGAAGATTTCAATTAAAAATTAAGGCTATGGAGGAGATTTCATTTCAGATATACCACTAAAATTTCATGTAAGACTGTGTAATGATTTTCAAATTAAGATGGTGAGAGCACTATTTAAAATCCACCATTTTTTATCCTCTCCAAGTGGATGCCTCGCTCACCCTTGTCACCCTTGGGCACACTGCATGCGGCTCCCATTCAGTAAGGGTGCGTTAGAGTGAGCGACTGTCTGCTGCGGGAGCAGAGGGATGAGCTGAGACGGCAAGACTTCTATCGGCCACTGCTTAGCTACTCAGGCAGGTTCTTAATGTAGTCTTAGTCTTGGTCTTCTCATTTGTAAACCAGCAGTTAGACTGCACTCTTCAAAAGTGCTCTGGGCTCTAGTGTGGGATTCTAAGTAGCAAAGTTACCTCCGCCGGGGACTTTCATGTGGAGGAAGTAGAGAGATGGCCCTGGCTCAATTCCCAGAACCCACATGGAAGCTCACCATTGTCTGTAATTGCAACTCCAGGAGTTCTGACACCTTCACACAGACACACATGCAGGCAAGACCACCAATGCATATAAAGAATAAAATAAATAATTTTAAAAAGTCTACTGGAATCTAAGAGGAGCTGGATATGTGCTCATATAGATGGGAAGTAACAGTTTTTTTGAGGATCATTTTCAGATTGTCTAGTAGAAGTTTTCTTGAATGTGTGGGTTCCTGGCTGTTTACCTCGCCTCATGTTGGCCTCATGTTCGAATCCGGTCTCTATAGTCTCCTGGAATTTATTTGAGTCTGGAGTCCGGCAGCTGGAGGGCTGGGTCAGTATCTTAGCTATGCGGCAAGGTGTGGCTGTTCTCTCCCGACTCGGAGTTTACAAGCTTCAGGCTCCTTATCAGAGGGAGCGCCAGAAAGTGCCTGGCCACAGGAGTGTGGGTGCTACTCCGAGATTAGTGTGAAGATTCCTTTCCGGTGTGTGGGAATGTTTGACCTTGAACGATGGAGAGAAAAAATATGCTTTAGTTATTTAATCTCTGACTGTTATACTCTGCTGATTTTCAAAACAGCATGAAATTGTATTCATAAATTATGTAAAGTAGATCATGTGTGTGTATTTGTGTGTGTGTGTGTGTGTGTGTGTGTTTACATGTGACTAGCTTGCAGTTAAGTGTTGAGGACTTCAGACATTTGTGTTGATAGATAGTGGGTGTGGCTGAAACCCCTCGTAGTTGGAGACCGGAAATTTTCAGGATGGTCATCAGCCCTTCCTTCGTTGTGCATTTATTTGGACCCTGAGTAAAATGGTAGCCAGTTTATGAACTGTGAGCTGAATCTATAAGTTTTGAATGAACTAACCAGTTTTAGGATTTCCAGAGACTTTCTTCCCTCTTCAAGTTTTAAGCTTACTTCCACAACCAATAGAAGTTTGGATCCGCAGGGTTTGGTGCCATACATGGCTAAAACGAAGGAACTAGATAGGTACATACTAGGGGAACAAATCAACTAGAAAGAAGGTAAAAGAAAGCTGGTTTCTTATGCCATTGTTTCTATGGGGCCTGGTGGTGACACTGTGGTGACCTGTCAGTCAGTGTGGGAGAATCTGTAGGACTTTGGAATGTCTTGGTGAACCTACATCATGCCTTCATACGGAATCTCAGTTTTATGTTTAATGATTTTTTTTGACGAATTATGATACCTAATATACAAAAGATAAGAGAATACAATTATTATTGTTCACTAATATTGTTCAATAATTGTATGCATTGTTTATATTTAATGATTGTATGCAAAACTAACATATACAAAGTCTTGCATGTTGGAGACAAAAGCTTCAGTAAACGTGAGTGAATTCACATAGAAAGGATTAGAAACTTCCGAAGTTACAGCAGTTCATGAGTTGTTATTGATTAATGAGAAAAGCTGTGTAGTTCTGTTTTGTCCTGCTGCAAAATGCTGCCCCTCCTTGGCTTATGGATGGGAAGTACAGAAACTTGAATGCTTGAGATAGATCTTTGAGGTGTGAAGCGCTTCATTTTGAGGATGGTATTCCCATCCAAATAATTCATCTCTTCTTTTGTGGTGAAAAACCTCACAGTGTCTGAGCCTTCTCGCCGTGCCTGCTTCTGTCATGTTTGTAACCCAGAGGAGCTCCCAGGACTGATGTGGATACTTTTCACCTATTTCACTCTTGAAATCCAAGGGAAATGTATACAAAATATATAAAAATCTTCATTTTTAAAATCTCATCTGTGAGTACCCAGGAGTCTATTTTAGAGACCACCTTACAATCTATATTGGCTGTAATAATTCTTGGGGATAGACGGGGACAGTGTACACCTTTAACTTCCAGTCTAGAGCATGGTCCCTGTTACTCATATAAAGACACAATGCTCGAGATAATAGCTGTAGCAGTAACTGACTTCATGAGAACAGCGCGCTGGGGTGCGGGGGTACTCCTGCACTGTTTTCCAGTCGTTGTAGCTCTCTCTGTCATGGCCTCCCAGGGTCTGTGGGTCTACAGCTGGCATTCGGCTGTCCACACTCACCGCCTGGAGTACCAAGCCACCTCCTGTTCACCTAGCTTCCAGAGAAGTGGGCCAGTCTTTCCTGCTCATTCCTGCATTTTTGCGGTTCCCCCCTGTTCTTGCTGGCACCAGTCCCACTGATGCAGCTCTGCCCGTTGCCTTTCCTTGTTTCCTCTCACCCTGGGCATCCCTGTCTCCTGACAGTGCTATCCGTGGTGTGCCCCTTTGTCTGTCATTTGTAATCTCTCTGAGCATAGATTTTGACCTGTCTTCTCCTCTCAGCTCGTGGCT